ACCAGAAGAAAGGTATAAAGAAGATGAAAAAGAATATATAAAAATAGAAGCATATAATATTAATAGAATTAAGAGAGCAGCAATGACAGAAGGAATTAATAAGGTAAAGATAGTATTAGGACAAAAAATCCAAGATACAATAGTAAGAGGAGATGAACTAACAACGCAAGAAAGAGAAAGTAAATCAGATATAGAAATAGCAAACCAAACAAGTTCTACAAAGATAGGTGATATTATAGAAGAAGAACAAGCTTTTCTAGAAAATCAACTCCTAGTAAGCGAAAAAAGTAAAGAAGTTTGCAGCCTCATAAAAGATGTTAAAGAAATCTAAGATAAAGAGATCCTTAGGTCAAATACAAATTTCTACTCAGACATCACAGAAGAATCAGAAGATGATTTGATACTAGCGGAGTCTGATTCCTCTTTCAAGAAAAACATATGGGTACTAAGTAAAGATAGGTATGAAGAAAAAGGAAATATAAAAGCAAAAGTAGTAGCTATTAAAGTACTTAGAAATAATGTGAGTTATAGAGAAAATCTTTAAGATAGTCAATTAGAAGAAATGCTCACTTCAAGAAAATATCTGAGAAATTCAAAAAAGGTAATTTATGGTATACTCTTATCTTTGACTATAAGAAAAGCTACAAGAAGGCCAAAAGAAAACTAAAAAGTAAGAAAGAAGAATATGAGCAAGCTAAACTGATTCACGAAGATAATATAGAGGAAATCAAGGCTACTCAATCTCTAGATAGTCAAAATAAAGACAATATCATTACAGATACAAGAGAAAAAATAGAAGAACAGATGAAAGTAGAGTTAGAAGAAGTTCTAACAAGAAGAAAAAAAAGAGATATAATTATCTCAGATCGATATGAATATGCAAGTACAGAAAACCCTATAGCCTAGCAAGACTCTAGCAGCTCAAACAAAATTAAGGAAAAAAACAAGATAATAGTTTGGAACTTGCCAAACTGAGCAAAAAGAACTCAAGTTTTCGAGATAGTTAGGTTTATAGAAAGAGTAGAACACATAGAGATAATCAAAAATATACATGACAAAACTAGAGCAAAGATTGAGTTTAAAGCAGGCACTTATGATGAAAAGAAAATGAATAAGATTTGGTATCTGCCTTTTATAAATCAAGTATTAGTAGTATTCCACAGATCCAATCTGAGGACCCAGATCCGATCTAGATTTAGTGTTCAGATCAGATTCAAATTCATGAAAATTCAGATCTACTAAATCTGGATCTATATTGGGATCTAATCCAGTAGATCTATTTGGATCTGTTTAAATAACGAATAATGATTGGTTAAAAATATTATATTCTGATTGACTTATATTATCTAAAATTTTTATCTCTAATCCGTCTAAACATGAAACTATAAGATCAACTCTAAGTTTCTTTTATGCCTTCTATGTCTTTTATACCTTCTATATCTTTTATGCCTTTTATGCCTTCTATGTCTTCTATGCCTTCTATGCCTTCTATGCCTTTTATGCCTTCTAAGCCTTCTAAGCCTTTTAAGCTTCTAATTTATAATAGTTATATATTATTTAGACTTTTTTTTTTTTTTTTGAACTTTTTTTTTTTTTTTTAATTTTTTTTTTTTTTGAAAAAAAATTTTTTTTTTTTAATATAAAAAACTTTTTTGTGTTACGTGTTATGATAAATGCGAAACTTTTTTTTTTACAAAGAAACTTTTTTCTGATACTAAAAAACTTTCTGAACTTCCTTCAAAACTGTTCACCTAGTAAAGCTTTTCTTACAATGTCAACTTCTTCTATGCTCCTTCATGTAGAGTTTAATAAATCTGATTATGAACAAGTGCCTACTTGTATGAATAAAGCCAAAGCTGAAGCTGAAGTCAGTAGTAAATTACTAACTCAATCAAAAGGTAGTAATAGAAGTAAAACTATGTATCTCAGGTAGGAAGCTTCATAGTGTTAAGCAACTTCATATACAATTTGAAAAGATTTTTCTATCTGATATATATTTACTTACTTGCTGCTTTACATTATAGATCTTTTGTATGGAACTACTTCAAAAAAAAAAGGCAGCAGTATGACATGTAATTTCTGTAGTACGAATTTAGTATATCAGGACAGGACTACATCAAATCTTAAGAAACATCTTAAAATACATAAAAATAAAGTACTTGAATTAAAAAGGCCAAATGTAAAACAAGATGGTATCTCAGTTATTGATATACTGAGTAATAGAGCAAACGTATATTTTTAAAACTTATAGTAGTTAGAAGGAATATTCATATGATTTAAAGCACAATCGTATTTATTAGGTCAATAATGATTTCCGTGAACTATTTAATAAGATTGAATTTGATAACCTTATTAAAAAATAGATCATTAAACGTAACTGATCCTTTTTAATTATTGAAGATGAAAAACTTGTGTCAATTTTTAAATTTTTAGATTCTTATACATCAGGTATAATATTTAGTGTTTGAGGATAAAAGGACAAGTACTTAGTATTTTTTTTTTAGCACCTTTAGCTAATACAGTAAAAAGACATGTAGTACATGATTTTGAAATAGAATAAAGGAGATTTCAAAGAAAGTTGTAAAAAATTCCCAGAGGTATAGCTGTAACTATGGATATATGGACGAATAATACTGGTAACAAGTCATTTATAGCAGTAACTATCTATTATCTAAATGCATCATGGAAACTTAAAAATATATTGTTAGATTTTGTTAGTATGAATAGTTCATATATAGGTGCTACAATCTCTAATATAATAGAAGTGTGTCTTCAAAAAATGAGAATTATTTTGAAGATAGTTGCAATTACATACAATAATGCATCGTTTAATATTAGGTTTTTGCAAGATTTTACATATTCTTTATCACAAATTGGTATTCAGTTTGATAGTACACAGTAATCGATACGATATTTTAGTCATATTTTAAACCTTACTGTGCAAAGCATATTAGATGTTGTGGGAAGTGAGTTAAAAAGAGTTAGTATTTTATTTTTTTTATTAACGGAATTAGTTCGAGTTAGTGGAGTCTTATTATTATTATATTATTATTAATTATTATTATTAATTATTATTATTAATTATTATTATTATTATTATTATTATTTTTTTTTTTTTTTTTTTTTTTTTTAATGCGGCTTCTTTTGCCTATTGTTTTTATTTTTTTTCTACTATTTTGTAATTTCTTTTC